TGATTCTATGACTCTATGATTCTATAGCAAAATACATGCCTACCTTTAGAAACTGCAGAAAAAGTCTCTTTAATCAAACTCCCAAAACATAAGAAATTTTAATATAGAACAAGCATTGGCCTATTTTTCAGGCAGGAAAAAAAAAAAGAAAAAATTTGTAATCGAGGAAAAAGGGAGAGTCAAATCATAGATCTGTTTTACATGGACCCTTGTATACCTCAGTATAGATTTTTGCAAGCTGTGGCAACTTTTGAGAGGTGTAGCTTGGCAGAAAAATAGTAGTACTTGCTAATATGTCTGCTTGCAAATTTCTGGCTTCTAAGAAGAAGATACAGAAGTTATTTGAAATTTTGTGAAAAGGAGGAAATACTGAAAATGGAAACCAGTTATTGAAATCTAATAAAGGCCCCGTAGGACCCGATTTAAGACCAGATGTAGGAGCAGTCCTATGTTCTTGGAATCAGTAGGCACAGATTTATTCCCAGTGGTAGTTCTAAGCCCACAGTTCATCTTTGTCAATTCTTTACCTAGCAAGAATTTACATGGGCTCCTGGATTTTGGAAGCAAGATGGATGAGAATACATGAGCCTACTTTTCACTAAAGCACTGTGTTGATATCGTTTCATTCATCCTTTGTCAGGAATTTAATAAGTAACATGTAAACATCATTATTTAATTAAGTCAAAATTTCTTTTAAGAGGAATGAGACTTCTTCAGGTGTCTGCCTTGGAGGAAAATTTGTTAAAGTTTGTTGTTTACAGACTCCTGTAGATAAAAATCTAGTAAATTTCCATGACTAATTCAGAAAAGAATTAATGAAGATTGACAGAAAAACTTGCCAAGGTTCAGTGGTAGCTGCCATCCCATTTTTTTTGCTTTCATTCAAGAAGCTGTATTTATCAAGATTTAGCTGTGAATTCAGATGACTAGTAAATTCAACAAGTTAAGATGGATGTACATTAAGATTAGACATAGGTTAAAAGTAGATTTAAAGGCCTTTCTTTACTAGAGAACCTTTAAAAACGGACCTATTATTTTTTAATATTGTAGCATAGCTCCCTGTTCTTATAATCTCATTTGGCAAAATGAGCAACAGTATCATGAGCACAATAAACTCTCCATATGTCAAGAGCAGAGTGATGGGAAGAAAGCAAAGCGGTCAGTGATTTGCGGTCTGTCACAGATGGGAGTGTTTCTTGTCCTAATTTCTCACATTTTCCAGGCCAAATTATTCTGGTTATATGCAAATTTTAAGTAATTTAGTAGTGTAATAACTAATTTATCAAATAGCATTGACCCTGAATCCAAGAATGAAACACAGAAGTGATCTCAGAAATGACAGAGAGGGATTATTGTTATTAACTAAAAAGGCCTGAACAGGCTGAAGCATGCTGTATGAGGAGAAAAACCCATGAGATTTAAGAAGTTTTATAAGAGCAGTTAAACAATCAGGATGCCAATGGGCAATATGAATTGACATTGGCAGAGTCAATCACAGTAAGAATGTAATATTTTAAAGATGATGCAAGAAAAATACAGCTTATAATTGCCACACCATTCTAAAGGAAGATGTGTATTTCTAGACATTCTTTAACCAAGTCATCATATGACATACGGATAGAAAAATTTTTTACTCTGAGTTTTATTTGGATTATTATACAGTTACAGTGCTTTTGCTGTTGCATGACACGTGCTTCTTACTCCTTAATCTGTTTTCTCTTTCAGTGCCAAGATCTGCAGTACATGACTGAGGCTATATGGGGCTGTCAGTCAGCAATCAGCGCCTGCAGTGACCTCTACGATTTGGTTATGGTCAGATGGGACAAGCAGCATGAGTGGTCTCCATGGAACACTATTCTCCTCACTAAAGAAGAGGCAGATGCACATCTTAAGCTGCGTAACCTTCAGATGGTAAAATTTGATGGGCTTTTTTTTTTTACAACATTTCTGTTATGTTTTCATAGAATCCTGTGACTAATGGTGTTTGGCCAGATTTAGTTCTTGCACTCATCCATGTTTAAATTGGCCCATTGTAACTATTTAAATCATGGCATCTGTACAATTAAATCAAACGGGCACTAGTCCAGAGGGCAGCTGGCATATACAACTCCCATCCATGTAGCTGAACTCACTTTTGCCCTGATTAGCCCTCCTAAAATGCAAGAAGCTATGTGGCCTCATCCATGCTGCCTGTTGAGAACAGTGCCATGCCTATGCTATTCCCTCAGCTGAGATCAGACAAGACCTGGCCTGGATGAAAAACATACTGAAGACTAACCATAGATACTATGGTAATTGTGTACCTGTGCTCTTGCATGTGCTCTGGCCTCATTAGTTTCTGGCTTTATAAATTTCTCATCAAATAACAGAATGTCTCTTTTTCTAGAACTTAACAATTTGTGTCCTAATAAAATTTACCTCTGTTTTCTTACATAGATGTCATTTAAGTACTTCTGACAATGTAGTCTTATAGTTTTCACTTAAGCAATAAAAACATAGTAGTTCTGAGTGAAAAAAAATTAAGAAATTGTTAAAGCTGTCATTGAAACTATGTATTTTTACACCACTCCCCCCAAATTCCATATCTAAACATGGTAGTGTGGTAGATACCTCACTCCACTGGGCATCATATGGTATTTTTTTTTTCCTAAGGCATGGGAGAATCCTGTGAGCTCCATTTGTCCTTCAATTGATAAGGGATTATTAGGTCTTTCACCTCTAGTTTATTCATTTATGTAGCTAGTGTTCTGAGGTCATTGTTGTATAGTGTCCTTTTGTTCAGGGACAATTCAATTAATTCAAATTAAATTCAATTTCTAACACAATATGTATGACTCACAAATGCAACTTCAGCAGTTACACATTGCCCTTTTTTTTGGAAGTCTTAAAAGTATGTGATAACTAGACTGCCAGAGCAAATTAATTGCTCTCTTAATGAAAGGTTTGCTTTGCAGACAAAATATTTCAGTCAGAGAATTCTAAAGGTAAAGGGAATTCTGTCATCCATTTTATTTTTAGTATGTGTGCCCAGCTTGTGTCTTCAAGCAGACATGTTTATGTCAGCACCAGCTTTAAAGGGTAAAACCAATGTCAAGCTGGAAATCCCTTTATTGACTCCTCTGTCTCATTTTTAGTCAACAGAACTGTTCAGACAGTCTGAATCTAGTGATACTTCTCTGCATCCATAAATTTATGTTACTAGCATTATGGCAGGCAAAGATTCTGGTTATGCACATACCTGGTTTAACTTCCTAAGTCTGGATGTCATAGTCACAGAGATGAGATTAACTTGGTGAGGTCCAGGGATTCAGGGGAGGTGGGAGTTGGGCCACAAACAGGTAAGGTATGCAAGCCTAGCAGAAAGTTGTAAGGTATTTTCACTTAGCTCTTGCTACAAAAATAGAATTGGACCAGCTATAGAGAGGAGTCACCTTTCTGCACTGGTAATGGTCAAAGCTTTATTTAAAAAAAAAAAAAAAAGAAAAAAAAAGTGTGAAGTAAAGAAAAGGAAGCAAAGTTACAATGTTGAAAGTTGAATCGCTGTTTCTCCTTCACTGGAAAAAAAAGGCCTCTCAAACACCTTGCTGAATAACAATTTTTCATAACCAACTATTGCAATAGCAAAAGGTTTTTTCAACTAAGTATTGTGGTTATTTATATTACATCATCTGAACTACAACTAATCACTAGAAATTTAGGAAAATGTCACCTCTGAATGCAAAGGCTGACTGAAATGCTGCAAAATCCCTCCTGACATGATTATTTGTAAACAAACACTGTGATTCTTACCAAGGAAATTTCCTACAGTTATCACTTTGCGAATATTGATATTTAAACATTGGCTTTTTTAATGTTCTTACCTGAAAAGAAATAAATTTTATCTTGAATGGATTAAAAAATTGCCATTAAGTTTTTCTGTTTTTAAAAGGTGACTGATATTTCACAAGGAGTGGTTAGAACTTTTCATGATTGGACCATAAGGTAGCAGTACAGAACTACAGAATATTTTACATGAATAAGTTATCTGGCTCAGTTTATTAAAGGGTCACTATTTATACTGTCTAAAATATGAAGCAGCATGTAAATTGCTAGATATTTTAAATGTATTTAATGAGATTTGGATTTTTTTTTCTTTCAGGCTTACGAAACAGGATTTATTAATAGAATAAAACATAAGCATATCCAGGCAAAAAACTACTTTGCTTCGTTTCCAGCAATGGCATCATTTTTGCATAGGAGTGACAATCAAACTAATCCAAATGAATTTTTAATAGCTACACCTATTCCTACTGGTACAAAAACATAACTCTTAGGTGAAGCTAAAGAAGTTAACTGAATTGATTAATACAGTTTCCTTGCTTTTAAAGAAATGGACTTTTTCATCAAGACTTTAATTGTATTGCACAAAATAAACTTCTGAGGATAAAATAATTTGCTATTGACCAGTCAATATAACTGCATTTTGTGTTTTGTAACTTCATTATTTATAAAGTAAAATGGTGTTGATGAGTTTTGTAAATTCTAAATTTTGAGAGCAATGGCTGTCTTCCTGTGTACGCCTGTGTTGCTTGGAACATTCTGTCTGTAATGTAATATTCCTGTTGGGAGAATTTAGCTAATGCTTTGTCATCTTTTAACTGGAAAAATAAGACTACATTGTGTTAGATTTATTTCTCTTATCTTAAGCCTTTAAAGCAGAAAACTCCTCAAACAATAAATTCCTACAGAGCAACAAAATTGATATGCCCTTCCAAATATAGCTGCTTTGCTTTGCTTTGCAAACATTTGTTCAAAAGAATGTCTTTATTTTTTATAGCTCATCTTGATGATCATAGTGGAATTACCAGCATGTACTTACTGTATCCGAGATCTTGAAATTATTGTAAACCAGACTTATAATTTGAAATACACAATTCAGACTGTTTAGAATGTTTGTTTTTTTAGGAACTTGTGTTATTTAACGTAGAAGTCAATTTTTTTCTGTAAACTTTGGTTACGTTTGATTACAGTTGCAGAGAAAACTATGGTATGGTGTACATTCAATAAAGTCCTGCAGAAAGCTGCAAAGTTCTGCTTGAAACCTCCACTTTAGATGTGGTTTTGACCCAGGACAAAGCCTTTTGCTCTGACAAATAAAACTGTAGGAAAAAGCAGTAGCATTTACAAACAGAATAAGCATATATTTAGTAGCAAACAGCTGGAAACTGGATTGACTCGCTCAACCAAGTATGAACTTGGCTGATCAGTGCATTTTAACATCAGTGGAGTCTTTCCATTGATTTTACTCTTAAATTCAGTTTCTGGATTTTAGTAAAGTACTGAACTAACTGTTGAATTGCAGGATATGAGCATTCCAGTTGGGTTATATGCTTTCCAGAATCTAAGCGTTAAGATAGGAATGTGTGCTAAGATTGGGCTACTTCTGGAGTGAGAAAAGGATTTTTGAAGAAAATTATGGCTTGAAGGGCAAGAAGGAAAGTGTTAATCATATAGAAAGTACCCTACCTCTTTATAAATTTTTCAGCATGCCTTTGAAATGGCTTTTAAAAAATTACTTTACAACCCCAGAAAGATTATTTAAATAAACAGTAGGGAAATAGTTCAAACAAATGTGAAAAGCCTTTAGTCTGTTGATTTCAATGTCATGTAGTGTTGGGAAATTTTTGAAATCATGGAATCATTTCAGGTGGAAGAGCCCTTTAAGATCAAGTCTAACTGTTAACCCAGCACTGTGAAATCACAACTAAATCATGTCCCTCAGCACTGCATCTACATGTCTTTTAAATACCTCCAGGGATGGTGACTCCACCACTTTCCTGGGCAGCCTGTTCCAGGCCTTGCTAGGCACAATTTGAAGCCGTTTCCTTCTGTCCTTTCACTTGTTACTTGGGAGAAAAGACTGACCCTCACCTCTCTACAGCCTCCTTTCAGGGAGTTGTAGGTGGTGATAAGGTCTCCCCTGAACCTCCTTTTCTTCAGGCTAAACAACCCCAGTTCCCTCAGCCACTCCTCAGAAGACTTGTGCTCTAGACCCTTCAACAGCTTTGTTGCCCTTCTTTGGATATGCTCCAGCACCTCAGTGTGGGACGATCACTGTGATCTCATCTCATTTTAGTTCAATAAAAGAAAGGAATGATTTTGAAAAATATATTTGCAATAGGTATATTTTAATCTTGTTTGGCAAAAAAAATCTTCATTTATAGGAGTGGAAAAAAAAAATAAGGAGAAAATATATGCAGCTGCATTTGTGAGCCAAATTTACTGAGGGAGGCAAATTAAAATCCCACTGAATAGATTTTCATTCCTTTTTTTTCCCAAATCTTTCTTCAGTTGTTCTCAAATTGTGGTTTGTGTAGAAATATTAAAAACGAAAATTCAGCTTGTTTTCAGTTAAAAGTTTGTTCATAAGTAATATAATAATCTGAGAGAAAACAATCTGGTTTTATTTAAAAGTTTTAAGACTGTTTCTATGAGGCAGAATATGGAGAGTATGCCCACCAGCTGTGCTCCATCTCACTTATGTGTGATTTGGTTAGTGAGTACAAATCCAACTCGAACCAAGGAATAATCTAATTTTTTTAGCTATTACCAGCTTGAAGGAGACAGAGACAATATAACTTTCTGTCACAATCCTTGCCTTTGTGTTAGCTTCTCTTTTGTTTTCATTAACCTAGTTTAACTCAGCTGTTTCTGATGCAAGAGGCCAGGAATCTCTTAAATGACAGACTTTCTGTCTGTGGTGTCAGCATGTGAGTATGAACTTGTAAAAGAAGTTGTACATGCCAGTAGTGGAATTTTTGAAACCATATAAATGCTCCAGCCCCGTGAAAATGCTATTAATAGAGCTGAGCACTAGTCATTTAAAAAGTATAGAATTATCCAATATTTATGGCAATATAATGAATCATTTGCTCTTTTGGTGAGGTTCCTGTCAGGTTACAACACATTTGCATAGCACTATATATTTGTTGGTCTCAATTCCCATACATTCAGATCAGATGGTTGAGGGTTTATTGTGGTGTGGAAGTCCTGGCAGTGTTGGTCGTATTTGTCAACTGTATTAGTAATGGAGGAGACCTCCTGGACCCAGTAGGTTCATTGGCTCGTGTTAGAACAGTAAGACATACAGCTTTCTTGCTTGGTTTGGAAAAGCAAGTGTCTCTGCATTGTGCAAGCTGAAGAATTAAAGGGATTCACACTCTGAGAAGGCATGTGGGCTTAGTGGAATAAAAATGCAGTAGTAATGCAATATTTCTTAAACTGCCAAATTGCAATGCAAATTAGCAGTTTCTGCAAGATTGGAAATTTTGCTGGAAATTCTGCGATTCCTTTAGTATCCTTGGGCAAGCTCATTGTGCACTCTTGATTTATATAATTCTGGCCTTCAATCTCTCTTAATTTCTTCTATAAAGGTTAATTTTAAGAAGCAAACAGGAAGACTTACAGGTGATTTGCTTTATGAGGAGGAGATGCTCACAAAAAATGGCAAGACTCTTCTGGACAGTGATGTGGGAAACTGTATCACTCACATTCTGGAACATACCAGGGAAAAGTCAGCCACTTTGAGAATTACAAAGTATTTTTCTTGTGCTGACTGAGCTATTCAAAATCATACTTAATTTTCCCTAGGGCACACCAGTTCTACCTCTGTCTTTGTGCTCTGGATTGCAGTCTTGCCTGTATGCACTGTAAATGGATGAACAAACACTGGCTTGTGAAAATGGAGATGACAGATTTCTCATACGTGTCTCTGAGGAGAAGAGGGAAAAAAGTGTAACTAAAGAGTTAAGTTTCGTGTTATGTAAAGATGCCATGGAGATGAGAACGTGTAGATGGTTTTTTTGCTTCCCTCAAAATTATTATTTTTGTTTTAGAAATCTGATTTCAGACTGAAGTGAACAAATTGCCTTATATTAGACAACAGCACTGTAACAGTACACTGTGAGTTAGGTCAGATGGATTCAATTAATCAAGCTACATGTGCTCAGATTGAAAAGAGTGTGTCTTCTGACATCTGTTTATACTTCTCTTACAATTTTCATTGCGCTTCCTTATTTTTCCCTTATCACAACTTGTTTCAACATAGCTAACAGTTTCTTTTGTGTAATATCCCTAACGTCTTGCTCTGACTGTGCAGAGGCATCTGTGCCCTGTGATGAGCACGTGCTGAGTGACCGCTGCTGCCTCATCTAGTCACAAGGTGTAGAAACAGCTCAATGCTTGGAAGGAGCAAAGAACGATGCCAGAGGAATTTGCTTCCCAGCCTGAGGAAATTCTCTATGACTGTTTTGATCTTGCATGAGACTTGTGAAATACTGAAGTCATGTCAAGTTCTGAAGTGATTATAATTTGCTCCTGACTTCTGATATCTTTGATTTTTTGGGACAGCATCGCTGCATGTAAAAGATTGCTTGAGCAATTCTATGTTTCAGTGGATACACTCCAAACGTACCATTTTCTCACTCTCTTCCTTCTTGCTGGAATCTGCAATGGATAGATTTACTGCAGATTTCAAACCTGTCAACACCCAAATGTGTGACACCAGTTCTCAATACATGTGAAAGAGCTAAGCTGAGGGACATGATAATGTGTAGCAGGGGAAGAAGATAGAAGTTCTGCAGAATACATTTATTTTGCAGTACAGAAAACTTTTCTATAAACTCCATTTTGAAGTTGAGCAACTGTTATCAGCCTGCAGTTATCAGGGAGTTAGAAAGCAGTAGGACAGGAGTTCAGACCTCACAACTCTGCCTTGTCCTAGAATGTTAGAGGAATCCGTTTATGCTTATACTGCAGAGAGTTTTATGAGCTGCTTAAATCACAAGTGTGAAAGTTATTAAAAGTATGTAACCCCTAACTTCAGGCTAAGGAAGTCCATGTTCTGAAAACTCGCACTTGTTGAGCCACCTCCCCCAGCAGGCTGCCCGAATCCGGAGAGCTGCAAGTGAAGCAGGAAGTGCAGCTGTGCACACCCCGGGACTTCCCTTTGCAGCTGGGCAGGCACGGACGCGCTCGCCCGGAGTCACGATGCAGCTCTCCGCTGCTGCCCCAGCCCCGCTCCTCTGCACCCTCACTCTGCTCTTCAGACTGGCTTTGTCAGTGCACCATGTGCCAGTGCTGCTTTGGTCAACTCTGAGGTAAGAAATCTAAAAAAGAGAATCTTGACTTAGGCTATTGCTCTCCTTGTGTGTGTGTGTGAGCAGAATATATTGTGTGTCATCAGCTGTGGTAATAGAACTTCTGGGCAATAAAATTACCCAATAAATAAATCTGCCTTTCGGCAATCAAACAACCTAATGGATGAATTTACCCGGTTTTATTTATATTTTAGCATTCTAAGTTGGTAAGTAAGAAGTAAATAAAAATCATATTCTTCAAATCTGAAGTAGATATGTGTTATTCAACATAAGGCAACCTTGAATTGCACTGTTAAGAGATATTGTGACTTAAAGGCACGATGTACAGCAGTCTCACAGAAAAGGAGCTGACCAGAAACAGTGTAGGCAACCTTTATCCTTGCATTTCCTAACCCCTGAACCCTGATTTTTCACTTTACCGTTCTTCTTAGGGCAGGTTTTTTAGTGGAATAAGCTGCTTTGTGTGTAGACATCAGTTGTTAGAAACAATTGCAGTCTTAACAGATCCAAAGAGACACATGAAATTCAGGGTTTTGCATATACTTCTGAAATAAGACTCTGAAGCTGCCTTGAAAGAGCCAGATATAGACCTCTTTTTTAAGCCAGGAATTTTATTCATGCAGGCTTTAAGGATTTATATAATTACTTGGGATTTCCAGAAATACAGCAGCTTGGGCAATGCCTTAGCTTCAGGTGGGGTACTGGATATGTAAAGTTGTCAGAGGACTAGGCACCATTTATTCACAAGGCTTTCTCTGCAGAGCACACTCATTGCTCTTGTCTAGGAGGTACTGCCCCAAAATACAGTAAGCCAAATGTCAGAGGTTGGTAAGAAAAGGCTTCTGAGGGAGCTTGTGGAATCACAGGACTGGAAGGGCTGAAGGCCTCTTTTGGGTGGGAAAGCAACAACAGATCTACTGTACTCTAGGTTTACCTAAAGAGAATTTTGGCCTGAGTAAATTACTTGAGTCACTCCTCCTAATTCCTAGATCCTCCTCATCCTTAACATGGTTCATCTAAATTGTAAACACTGTCATGGAGAGTTCATCTTACATAATCTGCAAGCACATACGTATTATACCTAGTTCAATAGCGTTATCTCAGCTGGATATGTATTAATTTCTCCAATACAAAAAAATCCATAACACCAACAGTATGTGGAGTTTGTCACAATCCATCTGGGTGACTTCATAACCATAAAATGCTTTCCTGTGCCATCAAAAGCCTTGGTGCACAGTTTAACCCTTACTTTTTCTGTAAGGCTGAACAGAAGGGCCTGCAGGGATGAGGATTCCTCCTGGCTCCTTTTGCTGGCATGGCCAAGTTGTGTGTACCTGGGCAGGGGACATTTTGCTTCTGAACTCCTCTGGCATCAACTCATCAGGCCTGAATTTATGGGGTTTGATTCTTCTGTATCTTTATTGCTTTGCTAATGCCCAGAGTCTTACTTGTGATTTACTCTTCTGTAAACTGAGGAAGGAACCAAACCAATGGCTTATTGGGAGGTAATTATTCTTTCAGCCAGCTGTGCTTACATGAGGCTTTGAGCCATTCTTTAACACGTTTGAGACACTGTAAATTATCTAGCATTCACTGGGAAGAGAATTAGACTGAATTCTGCTCTCACTTATCATTAAGGGTAATTGTCTTTAGGCAAGACGATTAAGATTTAAATCTGAGAGCTAAATCTTGTTAATATTTTTCTAAATTTAATTTCATTTTGTTCTTTTTTTCTGTTGCCTCATAATGTGGTAATTTTAAGACAGCATTAGAAGATTCAGAAATTTTGTGAACACCAGGAGTTAGGTTAAGTTCTTCAGATCTTTCTCCATGTATAGCACCACATAGAAAAGCATGCTGCGTTTCTGGTTTTTCATATGTTGTGCTGTAGTCTCGAGGGCCATGAAAAACAGGTATGCAGGAGGTGTTTCTTTCATACATAGGTTGGACATTGTGTTCTTTTCCTAGGAGAAATTCATACCAGCTTTGACTTATGTCTTAAGTCCATCTCTTAAACATTTCCAGAAACTGAGCCTCTGCTCCTTGGGGAGCCATAGCGTATAGAAATCTGCAAATTTTGATAAAGTTTGATACAGTGACTTTGTTTTAATGTTCAAAATGCTTAAGCAGTTCAACTTTACACTGAAGTTCTAAATTTAAAAGCAAAGTAAATGATGGAAAGATTCGTTCTTAGAACAAAGGTGATCCTAAGTGTCAAAGAAAAGATCAGAAGATCAGTGCTTCCTTTCTACTACTTCCTTGTTTATATAAACAACACACCTGTTGTCAATATAAGCAAAATCTTATCAGTTAACCCCAGATGATCATAGAAGCAAACTTTCCAGCAAGATGCAACTAGCAACTTGTTCTACTACAGATTGTTCAGGTTTGTACAAATCTAGAGCAAGAAAACCAGAATAGTGGACTGATTAAACCAGTTTCATGTTTGCACAAATGAAATGTTTTCTAGAAGAAGTCTTCTTGCTACTGTGACCTTTGCATTTTTGAAAGGTGAAGTTCAGAAATTAGTTCTGGTGGAAGTCAGTGAAGGAACTGGAAAGCAGACTTATGTTATTGTATAAAATAAAGAAACCACAACAGCAACTTTTGGTTGCCAACACTTAACTGTGCTTTAGATCTTGGTACTTTGCAGTGATGCAAGGTTTTCAGTGTGTGATTTACAGGCTTATGAAATCTGGAAACTATTAAAAATTTTAGGAAGGGTAACTAAAGAAGTACAGCAATTATCAGTGGATTTCTATACACTTTGTGGAAGCATATCCTACTCATTTAAAAGTTCAGCTGATCAACAGAAGCTGAGATTCATTGATCCATCATTCTTTTCTAGGTTATCTGTTAGGATATGGTACCAGTTGCAGGATAAGAACTAGCCAGTGTTTGTAAAGCCCTGTCTCAGAACAGCTATATTGGAAGAAAGTAACCCTCTGAAGTCTCTCTTTTATGCACTATTATTGCACTGAAATCATACTATTAAAGAGAACGTTAGGTGTCAGATGAAACCTACAACCAACAAACACGCACAGTGTGCAAAGTGTAAGGAAAATGTGATATAAATCCTTACAGGGACATTAGTAATTCAAATGCCTCTTTTCTCTAAAAAGTAAAATGCAGATATCTACTTTGAAGAAAAGTGTTTTTTATGAAACAATAATCTTTCTCCATTGAACCTGAGAGAAAGATGAAGTTGTAATAGCTCAGTAGATCACAGTGTCCTGCTTTTCCAAAGGAATACTAATGTATGAGTGGATGTTCTCCAGATAACTCTGGCCTGGAAAAACTGACCTTTATCTTGAATTATACTTTAAACTAAGATCTTCTGGCTGCTTTTTGAAGCGGGACAAATGGAGAAGTTCCTCTTACATACAATACACAGCAGAAACTTGATGTAGCCATTTTCAACCAGTATTCCAAAAAATTTCTTTCCCTCCACAGATTAGAGAAGGAGCTTGGGGAAATAATTTCATTAAAATGAGCTTTTGTTATTACCCCCTCATGTGTTTGTTTTAGTAATGATTTTTGCCCACAGTCACAGAAAATATATTACTACTTTCAATTATGCTATGCTTACATCAGGAAATAATTCCTTTTCTGACAAATCCAGATAAGTTACTTTGAGAAGGTGTTAATGCCAAATAATACATTTGCAGTGTTTCCTAAAATTGCAAGGAATTTACTGAAAAAACTGCTGGAATATAAACCCATAAAACGTTTTAGCTGTAACTTTATTTGACTTCTCTGGAGATACTGTGTGCTAGCACTCATGCCAGTTTACTGCATCTCTGCAGGAGAAAATATTATTTCTTATATAGTAATCACAAGGTGACTGAAAGAGACAACCAGCCAGAATAACTTGTAGGAGAGAGTTCAGAAGGCAACTACAAAGCAAAAAGGTAAACTCACAAGTCAGAGTGCCAGAAGTCTGTTAGCTTACTGTCTGCCCTTCTGGTGGATCCAGATACAAGAAATCTTTGCTTCCATGAAAAATAAGCACTCAAATCACAGTTCTACCTAGAAAGAACACTGGCCAGAGAAGAATCTGTATGTTTAAACTCATTGTCATGCCAGAGCAGTTAGGGACAAGAAAGAAGCAAAATACCAAGCAAAGCTTTTTTTCCACTCTCTTCAATTCATTAATTGGCTATTGGAGGAAAGAGAGAGCAGCTGAGTTTTAAGCTTCCTCTCTTTTAGCCAGCAGGAGAGCACGTATGTTAGCAGAGATGCTCATCATTCTGAACCCCCATGGCTGAGGATCTCAGGATGGCTCTGTGGTAGGGAGCTTAAGTCTGATGCGCTTGATGTGCAGATGACTGCACTAGGCTGAGCATCTCTGAACATTTTTTTGTGTGAGCGATCAATAGTATCAATCAATATATGTCAGCCTACTGCCTGTTTCATCCGATGCCATCCTCTGCCTTACTGATCTCTTGCTGACCACTTGAGGAGAAGAGCTGGAAGGGGTGGGCAGGTTCACTGCCTCAGGAGGGCACATCGCCAGGGCAGCACGACGCGCGCCCCGCGGCGCTCGCCTCTGACCCGTGTTGGGAAAACTCTTGCACCCAGCTGAGAGTAGCAGCCCATCCAGTGAAGGGTACAGCCTTGCCCACTGCCATGCACGGCACTCAGCAAGCTGTTTAAAGGAGGTAAAAAACTGCATTTATAATATGGTTAATATAGGTATTATGCAAACACCACATTATAACAAATATTAGCTAACTGGTGTGGACTTATTTTTCTAACGATGATGCTTGGAAGCTGAACGGTCTCACAAAAAGCACTGTTCAAGGTTAGATAGCTAGCAAAAGCTGCCTCAAGGAACAGGGAATACCTTAGAAGCAAGTATTCTTTAAAACAGGCTCATAAAATTTCTGAGGTTTAGAGTTCGCAACAAAAGTCTTCACTATTATGCTGCTGCAAATAACTTTAGTTTCATGTGCTTTCTGTTACCTTTGATTGTTCATTGCAAGTCCTAGATGCTCTCAAAATCATAAAGTATTTGTAATAGTAAATAAGAAATAGATTTATTTAGTTGTGGGTTTGTTTTTTTTTTAATAAATATACTGAGATACTCACTATAATTTTCTTTCACACAAGCCTTTTTTAAACATCTTGTAATATAATCTGTCTTCTTTTTCTTTAATATGTTAGCATTTTGGTGTGGCCATGCAATTCATAAAGTAAGTATGAAAGTCAGTTCCCAAACAGTGATTCACAATCTTTGAGAGATTTTGTGTTCTCAAATATCTTATTTTTAAAGGTTGTGCTTAAATTTCTGATATCGTGAGATTTGGCTTTTCCAAAAAGTTGAGGCATGTCTGATATAATTTTTGTTTGGCTTCATAAATGTAAGTTAGTGTGGATTTCCAAGCACAAATTAACAAAGGAGTCACGATGCTGAATAAAACTAGGAAATTATAAAATTATAATTTTAACCAGTGGAAAAAATCCCTTCCTCTATAGCAAGATTTATTTCTAAATGTTGAACAGTGATAGGCAGGTCTATGATAATTTAATTCTAACATCTGCAGCACATTGTCCTGAAAGAGTCTTCCATATGTATGGTCTGCTCTAACACTCTCCCAAGCCCCAAAATCTGAAGTGAGCTAGGTATCTAGTGCTGCAGGGCTGCAGTGTTCTTATCTCTGCCATGGGTGCAGTTAGAGGCTTTTGATTCACTCTCAGCAATCTTCATTGGCATTACTGGGAAGTCTTGAAGTGAAATATAGATTTTTTCCTTACTGAAAAAAACAACACTGAACCCCCCTTGTGTTCATTACCCCCATTCTGCCTCTACCTTAAGAGACTGCAAAGATTGTTCTCATTTAGAAAAGCTTGCTGTGCTAGGTTCATTTTCGAATTGTTTTTGGGTGAGAAAATTTAAGCAGCATCTCAGCTTCATCAAATTGCAATCATACAATAGCTGATGCTACAACACTCACCAATGCTCTATATTCTGTTCTTTGTAATTAGAACCTGTAAGAGGGCCAGGAATATCCGATTTCTCAGATTTTAGCAACTGATATGTATTTGGGAATGATGGGAGATTTCACTTCAAGCTCTGGGCTTTCTATACAGTGACGGTTTCACCTTAGCTGAAACACCTATGACTAAAATTTTCATAATAGATTTCATCCTATGGCCCCATGTTGCATGCGGTTAAAATCCCAGTCGTGTGCTGAAAGGATAATGCCACCTCCTCTTTTGACTATAACTGTCTTTTGTAGCAGCAGAACTAAAGAGGTGAGTTATTTCTCTGTCGAGTCCTCATAATGACAGGTTGGCAAAACAGTCATAAGCTTTTCTTGGCGTCTTGAACCATTCTCCTCAGAAGAGCTCCTGCTTCTGGAAAGGTGGCTTTTCTGAACTGCTTTCCCATAATGGTCCCTTCATCATGAAAACCTGAGGAGAGAATGTATTGTTTACAATAACACTGAAAAGCCAGTTTTTGTTAACACAAATTTTTGAAAATGTATTGGTTTATTACAACTTGTGGTCTAGCTTAAGTTCTGCTCCTCTCTGGTCACCAAGATGTCTGATGGCACTGGAAAGGTTTTTGGGAGCTGAGATTCCCTCTGGGAATTCTCTCTGAAGGTTTTCAACATATTCCTCTTCATTTCACTTGAAAGTTCATTGTTTTGGACGATGCAGCTGTGCTATTGTACACAAGAAAGTAGAGAGGCAGGCATTTTAATTTGACTGCTATCATTTCTT